GAATTTTACCTGAAATTTGCAATTTCTTCTTATAGCTCACTTCTAATTACTCATCACACCATTTGGTTATTCTTTAATTGTACCAAACCAAGTCCCAATTAGCTCAAAATCGACCGTTTTCATGTCAATTATTGTATCTAAGTGCATGTTTTTCCTACAATTAACAAAATCACACTAAATTAGATTAGAAATCCGCTCATATCCATAGTTTATCAAGTCTTAAAGCAGGAATAAATGTGTAAAAACACACTTATCACGTGTCTTGGTCTATTCAAAACACACTCAGATGCATTAACACCACCTCTCATTTGATCAAGACATTGTTTCCTACATATCTTGAGGGGAATCAAGTCTCCGACTTAGTTTCCACTTTTGTGGTTAGGTTTATGCCTCCACCCTAGTATTCGTACGAGTTTCATTTATTTTATGGTAGGGGCACCTAACCACATCATCCTTCTTCAGGGAAGACTAGAACCCATTAAGGATGTGTTGATAATTTGATTAAGAGAAAAACTAAGTCCACGAGAATTGTCACGTATGCATTAGTTGTAAATTCATCTTACAAATGTAATGGTGTAATTGCTACTAAATTTATGTGATCCAACTTCTCTCAATTAAAGTTTACCTAATTACAATTAAGGTGAAAGTTTGGTGATTGTCAGTAAAATTTATCCCGCAATTATTTATTATTCTTTTTGAAGGTACCCTCCAATTATTTAAACAGAAAAAAATTGACCAATTTTTTGCATTGGTTTATACATATGGATGAAAGTAATTAATTAGAGAGAACGTAGAAATTATTCCTTCCAATATCAATGAGGCGATTCGAATTACTTTAGCTTGATTAAGATAATTAATTTACATAAATCAGGTTCACCGATTATCCAAGGTTCAGCCATAAGGCAAAATGCCAGGGATTAAAATTCCTGGCATATGGTTTAGCCATCTCGGAATATCCTCTAAGAAGTTACGTAGTCACCCAATCTCTTCACCACATTTATCTAGAGTTACAAACTTGAATTCTATGGTAAATCTAGCTATAACTATTTGTTTAGAGGATTTACGAGATATAGCTCCACCTCCCAATGCAAACATAAATCCACTAGTGGACTTTAAGTGTTTTATATCAGATATCTAATTAATATCACAATATCCTTTAATGACAACTGAATATATGATATAATGCAGTCCATAATTACGAGTATATCTTAAATACCTTAATACTCTTACTATTCATTTTTAGTGATCAGCTCCTAGATTACTTGTGTATATACTCGATTTACTAACTCTGTAGGCTATGTATGGTCTTATATAACTCATCAAGTACATCATACTTTCAATAATTCTAGAGTATTCTAATCGAAAGACATTTTCTTTTTAAATTTCAGATAGATGTTGACTTGCATCTATCGATATACTAGTTATGCTAGAATCATCATTGTTAAAAAATTTCAGAATTTTGTCCATGTAATGTGATGGCTTAGAATGAGTCTATCCGATGTTCTTGAAATCTTAATTCCAAATATAACATCAATCAAACCCATATCTTTCATATCAAACCTCAAACTTAACATATTTTAGTATATTTGATAATCTTATCATTGCTACCAACAATATGCATGTAGTATAATAAAGACATAAAACGATATAACTATTTTCAGTGTCCTTGACATAAATGCATTTTCCACACTCATTGATCTTAAATCTATGTTCCATCATGAGATTATCAAAATTTTCATGCTACTATTTGGGTGCTTGTTTCAAGATATACAATACCTTCACCAATTTGCATAATATGTATTAAAGTAGTCAAGACCTTCTCATTGTCTATAACCTTTTATCACTCATACATCTCGATAGTTCCATCTGATTTCATTTCCTTTTGAAAATTCATTTGTAGACTAGTGGTTTGCTTTCAGAGGAAGATCTACTAGTTCTCATGTATGATTTTGCAAAATGAGATCTATTTCACTTTTAATTACCTCTTTCCATTGAGGTCATTCTGGAAGAGTTCACGATTTCTTGAAAACTTTGAGGTTTACTTTCCAACAAATAGGTTAGAAAATCAAGACCATAAGATTTTTCTGTTATTTTCCTTTTGCTACGTTTTAGTTCAACCTCAACCTCCTCTTCTTTTGGTCTTGACTATATTCAACCTTAATCTCATGAATCCATTAAGAAGAACTTGTTTCATCTTTGGATTTTGATGAATATACATGTTCAAATAATAAAACATTTCTCGATTCCATTATCGTATTTTTGTGTATGTCTTTGTGTATGTCTGAAATTTTAGACTCATGCACAAGAAACCAATATGTACTACTATTATGTGCATATCCAATAAAGATAAAATCTATAGTTTTCGAACCTATCTTTACCTTCTTTGGTGTTGAATAGCCACTTTAACAAGCACCACCACACTCGTAAGTATTTATATGATGATTTTCTTTTTCATAACTCATAAGGGGTCTTTTCCGTTTCTTTTCGGGGCAAATTATTTGAAAGGTAATTTGTTGATAACATAGCTTCCCCTCACATGTTCTGAGACCTAGAACTTACTAATATAGCATTCATAATTTCTTTTAAGGTACGATTTTTCTGTTCAGCAACACCATATTACTATGACGAACAAGGTGTAGTGATTTCATATATGATTTCGTATTGTGGACAAAATTCAACAAATAGCGCTTCATACTGACACCTAGATCACTTCTCAACATTGTAATTTTCTTATTTAGTTGATTTTCCACTTCATTCTTATAGAGAATAAATTTCTCAATACCTTCATCCTTACTTTTAAATAGATACATATAACAGTATTTTGTGCTATCATTGACAAAAGTAATGAAGCATTTGTTGCTACCTCTTATTTGTACAAATTATAAATCACATATATCAATGTAAATTAAATCAAGTGGTTATGTATTTCTTTCAATTGATTTAAATGATGACATTTTCAATTTTACCTCAACTAAAGTTTCGTACTTATGTTTAGACTAAATATGAAACAGGTATGCAATTCAAGTTAACTAACATATGTAAAGTATCATAGTTAACAAGTCTTAGCATTACGAAAACCATGTTTATTCAAAAGCGACCGAGTACTAGGTTCTTACGAACATACAGTATATTGTTAAGAGTTAGCTCTTTTCCTATAGTCATCTTCAAAACCACCTTTCTTTGACTATTGGTTTCAGAAGTTGCTAAATTTCCCAACAATAACTTCTTTACTTCGAATGTAGTAAACAACTAACTATTTGGAAAGTTTTACTCAAATTCATCCCTCAGCATGAATCTTATGAAGAATTATTTAGAGTTCTTGTACTTTACTGATTATAGTTTTGGAATCCACTATTTTATAATCCAAGAGTCGGCCAAAAATAAATTTCTTTTGTCCGGACATCCTCAGTTTGATATTTTTGGTCTAAAGACTCCCACAACTCTTTAGTTTGTTTCATTAGTGAATCAGTTTGATATTTTAGCTTTTTTCATCATACCATATACGTTCTTCAGTGAATTAGCCTGACTATTCACGATATAGTTTTAGTACAGAAAATTCGAATGTTCCCACGCATCAAATGCACTAGTGGCTTGGACATCTCCCTCACCCTCATTGATTTTCGGAGTAGTTTCAGTCACGATCCTCGCAATATTCAGGTAGTCAAGTAAAAAATTATTTTTTGTTACACCTTTTAAAACTCAAGCCATTGGATTTCTCCGATTTTTCCCATGATTAACCGGTATAGTAATGTATGGTCAGTTGTTTGAGCCACAATTTTGCTCACAACATGAATTGGCAATTTAGCCACTGTTTGAGCCACAACAAAACTTGGCACTTGAGCCACAGTAGAACCCACAACTTTTTTTTTTGTAGACACATCCATGTTCGTTGATTTGATTTCCATTTTTGAAAAATCAAATCAATATTAGTTTCTACATCAACAATACATGTACCTGTTTGTTCTTTTTTATTTCATTCTGTTTTAAGTTTGTTATACAAAATAATTTCCGGAATGATATAATTTTATTAAGTACAATAAGAACAAAACAAGTAATTAAAACCGCAAAAATAACAATGGCTAAAAATCGAGGCCTGAATATTACACAATGTCCTTCAAATAGATTAGCCCACTCACCGTTGGTGCGTGAGGTTTCGTTTTGAGCGCCTCTATCCTTGTATACAACGAAAAATCAGTGAAAAATGAGCTATTCCTTTTTGCTTCGGTAAACTGAATTTCTATCGGGACCACCGACTTTGGAATACAAAAAACTGAGCTTTATCACAAGCAAATGGCTAATGAATGAGTGGCATGAATGGCCAACAGTTATAGGTGTTACACACTTAACACCACCTTTAACATCACAAATACAGTTCAGCTTGGACAAAAATTAGATAATTTATAGGAAGTTCGGGTCGACATTCATATACGCATGTTGCTCTTCTACACAAGCTCAAGGCTCCATATACAATTTGTGTCCTTTATTTGCACCAGCTGCACGTGATTATAACTTTTCAATGTGTAACCATATATAAAGTGCCATTTGCTTTTATCATTTTCCTGTGTGGGATAAAATAGTTTTCCCTCCAACACTTTAATCTCTTCCAATACATGAGTTTGACCTTCAATTTCTCATTCACTTGTTTATCATTTTTTGTAAGTAAATATAAGATTTCAATGTTCTCATGGAGAACACGGATCAACTTTCATCTTCGAAATTGAACCAACTGATCACACCTAAAATTCTGCCAAAAGTAGCTCAACAAAGCCATTTTTCCAACATAACTACTTTCTAGTATTAAGATTCATGTCCAGAATACAATTTCCGCAAGATAATAAGGACATAACATTATTGATCACATAATTTACAACATCAGTTCTTATGCCTCTCCATCACACCCCATATTTATGAAATAACAAAAAATGAACTCCTACAGATCCTTATATATTATCTTTTCTCAATGCATACTATACCCTTACATTTCTTCAGATTGATCAAGTCTAGAAGCTTGAATCCCAAGATTGGGACGATGCTGAATTTGCATCAACAAAATCATTCGACCACCATCCGAGGTTGTACATTGATCCATTCATATCCTTGAAACAATCAAATTCAGCTATTTTTTGACTCTGTGTAGGCAGAAAATCAGCAGCTTCATTGTTGAGCAAATCATCAAGTTCAGCTTGAGTAAATCCTGAGAGAGGTTCAATTCCCGTGAAATTAAATTGCCCCACAAAATTTGAGCCTTGAATATTAGTCTCATTTACGGAATTTTTATTCTCATCTGCCTTCAAATTGCTTATCGTACGGCATTCTACAGCAGCCTGTTGAGGACTGATGGGAGTTCCTTGAATTAGATTACTTTGATTACTCTCATTCAAAAAGGGGAGGTTTTGGACTATTTTGTCTTGTAAGGGATTCAATTTGGGCCAAAATACAGGATTATTGTAGAAAGAGAAAGGGTTTTGAAGCTGCATGTGGAGTTGAAGTCTTTCCAGAGCAGAACTGCTGAGATTCTGCAAATAATTGTTTTCCTCTCCTCCATTTGCATCTTTTGGATCCTGACCTGAAACTGCAGATAGTTGGTTCAAGCGAGAATTTTTGCCCCTTCCAAGTAACTTTTTCTTCAACCTAGTGTTCCAGTAATTTTTTATATCATTGTCCGTTCTTCCGGGCA